GTGGTTCTACCAGAGACGTGTATACTGGCTGTATATGTCTCTGTGGTTCTACCAGAGACGTGTATACTGGCTGTATATGTCTCTGTGGTTCTACCAGAGACGTGTATACTGGCTGTATATGTCTCTGTGGTTCTACCAGAGACGTGTATACTGGCTGTATATGTCTCTGTGGTTCTACCAGAGACGTGTATACTGGCTGTATATGTCTCTGTGGTTCTACCAGAGACGTGTATACTGGCTGTATATGTCTCTGTGGTTCTACCAGAGACGTGTATACTGGCTGTATATGTCTCTGTGGTTCTACCAGAGACGTGTATACTGGCTGTATATGTCTCTGTGGTTCTACCAGAGACGTGTATACTGGCTGTATATGTCTCTGTGGTTCTACCAGAGACGTGTATACTGGCTGTATATGTCTCTGTGGTTCTACCAGAGACGTGTATACTGGCTGTATATGTCTCTGTGGTTCTACCAGAGACGTGTATACTGGCTGTATATGTCTCTGTGGTTCTACCAGAGACGTGTATACTGGCTGTATATGTCTCTGTGGTTCTACCAGAGACGTGTATACTGGCTGTATATGTCTCTGTGGTTCTACCAGAGACGTGTATACTGGCTGTATATGTCTCTGTGGTTCTACCAGAGACGTGTATACTGGCTGTATATGTCTCTGTGGTTCTACCAGAGACGTGTATACTGGCTGTATATGTCTCTGTGGTTCTACCAGAGACGTGTATACTGGCTGTATATGTCTCTGTGGTTCTACCAGAGACGTGTATACTGGCTGTATATGTCTCTGTGGTTCTACCAGAGACGTGTATACTGGCTGTATATGTCTCTGTGGTTCTACCAGAGACGTGTATACTGGCTGTATATGTCTCTGTGGTTCTACCAGAGACGTGTATACTGGCTGTATATGTCTCTGTGGTTCTACCAGAGACGTGTATACTGGCTGTATATGTCTCTGTGGTTCTACCAGAGACGTGTATACTGGCTGTATATGTCTCTGTGGTTCTACCAGAGACGTGTATACTGGCTGTATATGTCTCTGTGGTTCTACCAGAGACGTGTATACTGGCTGTATATGTCTCTGTGGTTCTACCAGAGACGTGTATACTGGCTGTATATGTCTCTGTGGTTCTACCAGAGACGTGTATACTGGCTGTATATGTCTCTGTGGTTCTACCAGAGACGTGTATACTGGCTGTATATGTCTCTGTGGTTCTACCAGAGACGTGTATACTGGCTGTATATGTCTCTGTGGTTCTACCAGAGACGTGTATACTGGCTGTATATGTCTCTGTGGTTCTACCAGAGACGTGTATACTGGCTGTATATGTCTCTGTGGTTCTACCAGAGACGTGTATACTGGCTGTATATGTCTCTGTGGTTCTACCAGAGACGTGTATACTGGCTGTATATGTCTCTGTGGTTCTACCAGAGACGTGTATACTGGCTGTATATGTCTCTGTGGTTCTACCAGAGACGTGTATACTGGCTGTATATGTCTCTGTGGTTCTACCAGAGACGTGTATACTGGCTGTATATGTCTCTGTGGTTCTACCAGAGACGTGTATACTGGCTGTATATGTCTCTGTGGTTCTACCAGAGACGTGTATACTGGCTGTATATGTCTCTGTGGTTCTACCAGAGACGTGTATACTGGCTGTATATGTCTCTGTGGTTCTACCAGAGACGTGTATACTGGCTGTATATGTCTCTGTGGTTCTACCAGAGACGTGTATACTGGCTGTATATGTCTCTGTGGTTCTACCAGAGACGTGTATACTGGCTGTATATGTCTCTGTGGTTCTACCAGAGACGTGTATACTGGCTGTATATGTCTCTGTGGTTCTACCAGAGACGTGTATACTGGCTGTATATGTCTCTGTGGTTCTACCAGAGACGTGTATACTGGCTGTATATGTCTCTGTGGTTCTACCAGAGACGTGTATACTGGCTGTATATGTCTCTGTGGTTCTACCAGAGACGTGTATACTGGCTGTATATGTCTCTGTGGTTCTACCAGAGACGTGTATACTGGCTGTATATGTCTCTGTGGTTCTACCAGAGACGTGTATACTGGCTGTATATGTCTCTGTGGTTCTACCAGAGACGTGTATACTGGCTGTATATGTCTCTGTGGTTCTACCAGAGACGTGTATACTGGCTGTATATGTCTCTGTGGTTCTACCAGAGACGTGTATACTGGCTGTATATGTCTCTGTGGTTCTACCAGAGACGTGTATACTGGCTGTATATGTCTCTGTGGTTCTACCAGAGACGTGTATACTGGCTGTATATGTCTCTGTGGTTCTACCAGAGACGTGTATACTGGCTGTATATGTCTCTGTGGTTCTACCAGAGACGTGTATACTGGCTGTATATGTCTCTGTGGTTCTACCAGAGACGTGTATACTGGCTGTATATGTCTCTGTGGTTCTACCAGAGACGTGTATACTGGCTGTATATGTCTCTGTGGTTCTACCAGAGACGTGTATACTGGCTGTATATGTCTCTGTGGTTCTACCAGAGACGTGTATACTGGCTGTATATGTCTCTGTGGTTCTACCAGAGACGTGTATACTGGCTGTATATGTCTCTGTGGTTCTACCAGAGACGTGTATACTGGCTGTATATGTCTCTGTGGTTCTACCAGAGACGTGTATACTGGCTGTATATGTCTCTGTGGTTCTACCAGAGACGTGTATACTGGCTGTATATGTCTCTGTGGTTCTACCAGAGACGTGTATACTGGCTGTATATGTCTCTGTGGTTCTACCAGAGACGTGTATACTGGCTGTATATGTCTCTGTGGTTCTACCAGAGACGTGTATACTGGCTGTATATGTCTCTGTGGTTCTACCAGAGACGTGTATACTGGCTGTATATGTGTTTGGTTCCACACAGATAAATAGCAAAGTGGGACAGCAGTACAAGTGAATGAACAAAATTGGACCAGACATCCAACCATAGGTCTTACTTGTATCAATCTCTATGTAAATAACCTACGTAGTCAGACAACCTCTCTATTCCGATCTTACAAATAAGTAACCATGGATTTCGGATTTGACGACACTACCGTTAACATTCTGATGATAGTGTTTCAAGTACATGGACACGTACAGAATAGGACCTGTTGTGTGAGATCTAGATTTTACAGATTCAAAACCCGAAATGGCCACCACGTCCTCTGATTCTAAGAGAATTAAGATATGAAAATAATAGATTATCGATCATCATTTAATTCCGGGATTGGAGTTGTGGTATAATATTTTTCATGTTTGGCGCTTTTTTAAATCCCAAATGACTTACTGAAAATCTGTTCAGGTATTTTTTTCTTTTTCTAATTCAAATTTAAAAATAAAATAACATGCACACACAAATACAAATTAAAAAAAAAACCATGTGAACGATACAGGAAACATGGCCTCTTCTTCTGTTAGACGAACATGCTAATTCAACATCCCTACCCTGCTGAACGTTCCTTTGTTAGATTGTCTATACCACGTCACAGTATTACCAGATCAGCTCGCATTACATCACGTACTACGTGTTACTGAATATATAAATAGATGTATTTAGATAAAACAAAACTCCATTACAGACTTTCGTACTGCGACTAACGTCGTATCAACACATATCACCTTTCACGGGGGACTGCGGGTACGTAATTTACCATACGTAATACAAGGCTTAATAGGTGGGGCCCCTGCCAAATCGCATATCTTCTTCTCTGTCCTCTGCTTAAGGACATTGGAATACATAAACAAATTCTGCTCCTGCCTTTGCAACATTTAGGATCTGTATCTTTTTCCTATTCTCATTCCTACCCTATCTTCTCAACGATGTCTCCCCATACACCCATCTACGTACGAACCTACCTCGTAGGTATTTAAAACTCCCGAGCACAAAAGAAATAAAGAAACTACATCTATACTTATCTGCTACACAATACACTGTAGTTCAAACGTTTGTGCTGCATGATTTTAATTCAACGGCATACAAGCGGAAACATACACGGAGAAAATCGGGAGCTATTTAACCCCAGTGGACCGTGAAGCGCAGATATCGTCATAAAAATGTAGTGTTTGTTGAAGGTCGTCAGAGTTACTCCCCTTTATACAACAGTCGCACGTTAACGTGCTAACTTTTATACGTTAAGATTGTGACGTCGGTATGGATTATCCATGCGCCTTACTGATTTACCGATTTCCGGAACAAACACGATCTACTTAGTGCCACCTTTTCGTAGTTACTAACGAAGTGACAAAATGCATCTAAGTTTTAACTCTAGTGGTTATTCGAAAATAGCGTCTATAAGGTCGTATGATGACAACCAAGGTCATAAGATCACGTGACGACGGGCTGATCGGGCTATTTTGTTCCGTATATCTGTTTAACCTCTTTTAGGTTTTCATAACTACATAACACGTCGCTTCTGGAAATATTTGTCAGGTATAAAATATAAACTGTTTATTCCACCAGATTTACCGGATCAGAGACAGAGTGAAAGTGTTATTTGTCCATGTAGCTACATGTACACGTACACTTAACTAAATGATATCCCATGATTTATAATACTTTTGGGTATGCTCATTTCAAAAACTATATAAATTCATACTTGTTCCACCGACGCTTATCTTATTCCGTGCGTATACAGATCCAACCGCACAGTGGGTATATGTATAACGAACGTACCCGAGTTAAACACCATTTAACGCACATGAAGTATTCCGTCTTTGCTTATCGCAGAGCTATCTTCTCTTGTGTGCAGATTTGGTTTGTGTGAGAAAATTACGTCGTTTTCTCAAAAATTGATGACGTTACTCTCAAAAACAAATGACGTAACAGTCAATACCTGCTCACAAGTGCAGATAACTCTGCAATACGCAAAGACGGAATACGAGGCGGGAAATAACATATAAACAGACTTTAACAAACTTAACTACTGTCTTTTTTCGACAGACACGTACATGCCAAAGTTATTGAGAACTTACCTACGGGTTGCTGCACAATAACCAGCTCCAGTTTACTTCTGATTGGTCGAAGTTCCTTCCCCAGTGCTACGTCATGCGTGACGTCACACACAACATAGGTTCCATTATCAGAAAAGGGGAATGTCACATTGAAAACGTAATCGATCATAAACGTTCCGTTCTGGAGTGACGACGCCGGTTTATATTTTGTGATTTCGTGATCAGTGATGACATTGTAAGGAGGCGATTGTAAGAGACGTAACACCGGATTAGGTCTCCCAACATTCCCTGTACACCGGATATGACGTTCGTTTGTATTCTGACTGGCGGTTTGGGTTATGGCCAATGATATGGGCTGAGCTAGAAGTAAAAACATAAGAAAAGATTTTCGTAGTAAAGATCTGCTTCATCCACAAAGGACAGATGTGTTTCTTAGTGTCTGAAGCTTCGATCAAGATTTAGGAATGATAGTTACTTCTTATGTATATTATGAGCATTAAGATAAAGATTGTGCTGTAAATATAACACCCGTAAACGTTTAATTTTATGAGAACACTGTTCTGGTAAGGTTTTAACGGTAAAACAAACGATTTCCACCAACCTTTCCCACGTACAAGCGCGGTATTATTCTGAAGGACAAACGAGACAGTTTTTTTAATCTAAGACAAAGATAACCATTCAATAAATACAGGGCTATATTTAAATCCAGGGTTCAATCGAATCACGATATACGCGTTTTCGTTTAACGGACGACGACCACTTCAAGAATTGTCTTCCTTTTTTTGCTCCTGTCACACATTAAACTTTTGGCATGGAAAAAATACTCAATTTTCACCAGATTATTATTTAAAGCTATCAATAATACACTGCCAGTCAGTGTGTCCCCGTGCACTGTGGATGTTTTATAAATGTACTTGAATACCAGGAAATTTCTATAACAGGTCTGCGTCATGCACGATGAGTCATGGGGTATGGCATCATCGTCCTTTAGAGACGAAATACTTCCCGATGCTTCCCACGTTAGAAGAGATATTATATAGGTCATTCATGGTGTCTGGTCGTGTTGATGGTCACACCGTTGAGATACCCAGAAACCAGAGATATTATATAGGTCATTCATGGTGTCTGGTCGTGTTGATGGTCACACCGTTGAGATACATGGTGTCTGGTCGTGTTGATGGTCACACCGTTGAGATACACAGAAACCAGAGATATTCTACTTACCATATGTTACAATTATGAAACGTCCCGATTGTTCCGAAGTTCCAGTATCCATGGTGACACGATACCAGCCTTCATCGTCCACGAGGACAGAGGTCAAAGTCACTGTGACGGTACCCGTTGCAATATTATCCTGAACATTCGCGCGCGCTTTCCAGTCTTGGTATATAGAGGTCGAATTCTGGACAATGCTGACCACGGCTGTGCTACTGGTGTCGTTGTATATAACAAACTGTGTCAGATTATTTGTCAGATTATTTGTACTCGGGTCAAAGGTGAAGGTCATGACATAGCTTTTACCCAGTTCTGCTTCCACCACTGTTGGGTAGGTCAGAGAGGTGACTAAAAGGAAAATAGAGATAATTATATGTATATCAAACGTTTAGCTATAACTGGGGACGTAATCTACATCAATTGGTTATAATAGGTGTTCTGGCGGCGTAATGGATAGCGGTTCCTAGATCGAACGTGAAAAGGTACGGGTTACCTGCCCGATCACGTGGGGTTTTCCACCAAAACCAATATCTTTCTGCCCGTTTCCTTCCGGGCCAAAAGTGTACGTAAAATAGATCAAGTTTAAAACTATACATGTGATACCAAATAACTGTAGAGAAAAACATTAACTAAAAGTGAACATACCTAGAATTATATCGAACAACCCTAATATTATAATGAACAACCCTAATATTATAATGAACAACCCTAATATTATAATGAACAACCCTAACATAACAATGAACACCCGTACATTATAATGAACAACCCTAACATAACAATGACCACCCGTACATTATAATGAACAACCCTAACATAACAATGAACACCCTTACATTATAATGAACATCCCTAACATAACAATGAACACCCGTACATTATAATGAACACCCCTAACATAACAATGACCACCCGTACATTATAATGAAAAACCCTTACATAACAATGAACACCCGTACATTATAATGAACACCCCTAGCATAACAACCACCGCCCGTAGATTATAATGCACAACCCTAACATAACAATGAACATCCGTACATTATAATGAACAACCCTAACATAACAAGGAACACCCGTACATTATAATGAACACCATTACATTTTAATAAACAACCCTCATGCAATGTTTTCGTCTATAATGAACAACCGTAACATAACAATGACCACCCGTACATTATAATGAAAAACCCTTACATAACAATGAACACCCGTACATTATAATGAACACCCCTAACATAACAATGACCACCCGTACATTATAATGAACAACCCTAACATAACAATGAACACCCGTACATTATAATGAACAAACTTAACAGAACAATGAACACCTGTACATTATAATGAACAACCCTAACATAACAATGAACACCCGTACATTATAATGAACACCATTACATTTTAATAAACAACCCTCATGCAATGTTTTCGTCTATTGATAGTTTTCATATAATATGTCGTTTTTGCATAGTATTTTAATACAGAATCTTTATTTAAACTAATTCTTCTTGACGCGTTTTTAACGTAAGAACATGTACATTTATTCTTATTCGGTCTTTCAACCTTACAGCTATTCAGCACCGGATGATCAGAGGCGACTAACGGGGGAGGGGGACTTACAGAATAGATTTGTTTGTCCTCGGGTTGAAGGGCATTGCTATACTATTCTGTACTTGAATGTAACTCTATGTCTTTCTGTTATTTCCTGTTTATTGCTGTCGTCTGTCGTTCCGTGTTTTCATCTGACATCCGACTTCATATGTTTCAATCAGTGATATGATGACGCTACTATTTTAATCAGACTTCCAGACTTTTTTAATTAGACTTCGAGTATGCCACTTCTTAAGGCGAAATGAGTGATCACCTGACCTGTTATATATGGTGTTACATGTACCAACATTTCTGCTGTGTCTCGGACGAGTATTACACTACACGGATTTGACCGTATTTGATTATGCTTCACAATTTTCCTAATATACAGAGTGATATATGGAGTCATTCAATGATTGATATTACAATAAAGATAAAACTCATTTCGACCTTGATATAGATAAATGTGTGTGTGTGATTATCACTCAAACACCTATACGCTGAAAGTGCGAGTTATAAACTAATAGACCACTTCAGGTATTACGTAACTGGTGACGTGTATCGCTGACCTGTCCGACGATATACTCTAAATAAACGCTATAAAACAATAAACTCCCCGGACAAGTTGTTAGCTATCTCGCTGTGTCCCTTCAAGGTGATAAATGGTCACGTTTGTGTCCATTGACCAAATTACATTTTGTAAAGCTTACTCAAACTTATTACACGCAGAGGAAACTCGGATTCCCAAAGATGAACGTCAGATTGTGTATACAGGCCTAACATTACAAATGCGAACATTTACAAACAGACACATCCAATTATACTTATTGCTTGTTTGCTGAACCACACGTTTACTTGTTCATAGAGCATTTTACCAGGTTCTGGTGTGTGTGTGTGTGTGTGTGGGTGGGTGGGTGTGGGTGTGTAGGTGTGTGTGGGTGTGTGTGGGTGTGAGTGTGGGTGTGTGTAGGGGGGTGTAGACTACAAAGATGTACTCAATACCGTTTCTTTCAAAAGATACTGCGACATTTGTAGATATGTTTTAATCGTACATCATAATAACTGTTTAAATACGCATTTCTCTGTTCAGCTATTGCTGCCGCTGAAGAGGTATTGCCCATTGCTGTAGATCTAACTGGCATGGTCAAGTTCAAATGCCAAAAGCAACGGTTTGTCCTACGATTCGTGGTAATAGACCTGAGTGTTCCCCATCTAGAAACCACCAGAAAACTATCTTCTGACAGTAAATAAGCACTTTGGTAACGGCTCTCGGAAACACTTATATAACGAATACTATAGGGGACAAGAATCCAGACCCCGGGTTGTACCAGTACCATATCCAGCTAACTTAGGCACAAAACGAGACCGAGGCTGCAGTGAACGAGCCTGTCATTAAGACCATCAAGTGCACAATGTATATACATGTATATATATATATTTCATGGGATTTTACCGTCTATATAACTTCTTTGACCCATATACATATATATTTCATGCATACTTCAGCGGGATTCGAATATGAACTTCAGATTGTTATACTGTCATTCTAACCGACTGAGCTAGCTGGCCATGGAATTGTGCCTGGCCCGACTATGCTACAGTTATTTCGAAAACAAAATCAAGGGGAGGTTACCGTAAGACTAAAGTGCAATAGGACAGGGATCCTTAATCTAATATGACGAAACGTGTCCCACCCTCTATATAGGCAGAATGGACATCTTGTTTCATGAATCAAATGTAAAACGAAAACTCATTGCAATCCCAATAGATATTAAAAGATTGCAATTGAAGCAAAATTTGGTAAAACTGTAGTATACACAAGTTACATTTTACTTACAACATGTATATGTTAAAGCTAGCACCAGTTACATATTGTATGTCGAGTTGGAAGCAAACACAACACTATATAAGGAGACTCGGTAGTCTGCTGGTACATGTAGGACGCCGGGCTTGTGACCGAACGTTTGCGGGTTCGAGTCACGTCACGGCATTGTGTTGTATATTTGAGCATGATACCTTACTGCACTTGTTCCAGTCTACTCAGCTGTGAATGAGTACGTGGTTGGGCAGTACTGGACTTGTGAATGCTAGCTGTGAGCGCCGAAATGGCAGCACCGGCTGTATGCTTCCCAGGGACTTGAGACAGATATTGGCTGGTTGCAAAGGCCCTATAGCCACAGATAATAACTTGTAAACCGCTTTGAGACGACCTACGAACGAAGTTGGGATAGAGAGGTATATAAGAACCTCGAGTTATTATTATTAGTAGTATTATACCCTTCCGGTATATAAGAAACGTTACGTGCCCTGTATAATAAGAAACGTTACGTACCCTATATGATAAGAACAGTTACGTACCCTATAAATTAAGAAATGTTACGTACGCTGTATAATAAGAAACGTTACGTACCCTGTATATTAAGAAACGTTACGTGCCCTGTATAATAAAAAACGTTACGTACCCTGTATAATAAGAAACGTTACGTACCCTGTATAATAAGAAACGTACCATGTATAATAAGAAACGTGCCATGTATAATAAGAAACGTACCATGTATAATAAGAAAATACCATGTATAATAAGAAACGTTACTTACGCTGTATAATAAACGTACCATGTATAATAAGAAACGTGCCATGTATAATAAGAAACGTACCATGTATAATAAGAAACGTTACGTACCCTGTATAATAAGAAACGTACCATGTATCATAAGAAACGTGCCATGTATAATAAGAAAATACCATGTATAATAAGAAACGTTACTTACGCTGTATAATAAGAAACGTGCCATGTATAATAATACACATTATGTACCCTGTATAATAAGAAACGTACCCTGTATAATAAGAAACGTAACGTACCCTGTATAATAAGAAACGTACCCTATAAATTAAGGAATGTTACGTACCATTTATAATATGAAACGTTACGTACCATGTATAATAATAAACGTACCCTGTCTGATAAAGAAAGTTATGTACCCTGTATAAAAAGAAACGTAACGTACCCTATAAATTAAGGAATGTTACGTACCCTGTATAATGTGAAACGTTACGTATCCTGTATAATAAGGAACGTTACGTACCATGTATAATGTGAAACGTTATGTACCATCTATAATAAGGACCGTTACGTACCCTGTATAATAAGGAACGTTACGTACCCTGTATAATAAGTAATGTTACATACCCTGTATAATAAGAAACGTTACGTACTCTGTATAATAAGAAACGTTACGTGCCCTGTATAATAAGAAACGTTACGTACCCTGTATAATAAGAAACGTTACGTACCATGTATAATACGAAACGTTACGTACCCTGTATAATAAGAAACGTTACGTACCTTGTATAATAAGAAATGTTACATACCCTGTATAATACGAAACGTTACGTACCCTGTATAATAAGAAACGTTACGTACCCTGTATAATAAGAAACGTTACGTACCATGTATGATAAGTAATGTTACATACGCTGTATAATACGAAACGTTACGTACCCTGTATAATACGAAACGTTACGTGCCCTGTATAATACGAAACGTTACGTACCCTGTATAATACGAAACGTTACGTACCCTGTATAATAAGAAACGTTTCGTACCCTGTATAATAAGAAACGTTACGTACCTTGTGTGATAAGTAATGTTACATACGCTGTATAATACGAAACGTTACGTACCCTGTATAATAAGAAACGTTTCGTACCCTGTATAATAAGAAACGTTACGTACCTTGTGTGATAAGTAATGTTACATACGCTGTATAATACGAAACGTTACGTACCCTGTATAATACGAAACGTTACGTGCCCTGTATAATAAGAAACGTTACGTACCCTGTATAATAAGAAACGTTACGTGCCCTGTATAGTAAGAAACGTTACGTACCCTGTATAATAAGAAACGTTATGTGCCATGTATAATACGAAAGGTTACGTACCCTGTATAATAAGAAACGTTACGTGCCATGTATAATCCGACAGGTTACGTACCCTGTATAATAAGAAACGTTACGTACTCTGTATAATACGAAACGTTACGTGCCCTGTATAATAAGAAACGTTACGTGCCCTGTATAGTAAGAAACGTTACGTACCCTGTATAATAAGAAATGTTACGTGCCCTGTATAATAAGAAACGTTACGTACCCTGTTTAATAAGAAACGTTACGTACCCTGTATAATAAGAAATGTTACGTGCCCTGTATAATAAGAAACGTTACGTGCCATGTATAATCCGACAGGTTACGTACCCTGTATAATAAGAAACGTTACGTACCCTGTATAATACGAAACGTTACGTGCCCTGTATAATAAGAAACGTTACGTGCCATGTATAATCCGACAGGTTACGTACCCTGTATAATAAGAAACGTTACGTACTCTGTATAATAAGAAACGTTACGTACCTTGTATAATAAGTAATGTTACATACCCTGTATAATAAAAAACGTTACGTACCCTGTATAATAAGAAACGTTACGTGCCATGTATAATACGAAAGGTTACGTACCCTGTATAATAAGAAACGTTACGTGCCATGTATAATACGAAAGGTTACGTACCCTGTATAATAAGAAACGTTACGTGCCATGTATAATACGAAAGGTTACGTACCCTGTATAATAAGAAACGTTACGTGCCTTGTATAATACGAAAGGTTACGTACCCTGTATAATAAGAAACGTTACGTGCCTTGTATAATACGAAAGGTTACGTACCCTGTATAATAAGAAACGTTACGTGCCATGTATAATACGAAAGGTTACGTACCCTGTATAATAAGAAACGTTACGTGCCCTGTATAGTAAGAAACGTTACGTACCCTGTATAATAAGAAACGTTACGTACCCAGTATAATACGAAACGTTACGTACGCTGTATAATAAGAAACTTTACGTGCCCTGTATAATAAGAAATGTTACGTGCCCTGTATAATAAGAAACGTTACGTACTCTGTATATTAAGAAACGTTACGTACCCTGTTTAATAAGAAACGTGACGTACCCTGTATAATAAGAAACGTTACGTACTCTGTATAATAAGAAACGTTACGTGCCCTGTATAATAAGAAAAGTTACGTGCCCTGTTTAATAAGAAACGTTACGGACCCTGTTTAATAAGAAACGTTACGTACCCTGTATAATAAGAAACGTTATGTGCCATGTATAATACGAAAGGTTACGTACCCTGTATAATAAGAAACGTTACGTACGCTGTATAATAAGAAACGTTACGTGCCCTGTATAGTAAGAAACGTTACGTACCCTGTATAATAAGAAACGTTATGTGCCCTGTATAATAAGAAACGTTACGTATTCTGTATAATAAGAAACGTTACGTGCCCTGTATAATACGAAACGTTACGTACTCTGTATAATACGAAACGTTACGTACCCTGTATAATAAGAAACGTTACGTGCCTTGTATAATACGAAAGGTTACGTACCCTGTATAATAAGAAACGTTACGTGCCCTGTATAATACGAAACGTTACGTGCCCTGTATAATAAGAAACGGTACGTACTCTGTATAATAAGAAACGTTACGTGCCCTGTATAGTAAGAAACGTTACGTACCCTGTATAATAAGAAATGTTACGTGCCCTGTATAATAAGAAACGTTACGCACTCTGTATAATACGAAACGTTACGTACCCTGTATAATAAGAAACGTTACGTACCCAGTATAATACGAAACGTTACGTACGCTGTATAATAAGAAACGTTACGTACTCTGTATATTAAGAAACGTTACGTACCCTGTTTAATAAGAAACGTGACGTACCCTGTATAATAAGAAACGTTACGTACCTTGTATAATAAGTAATGTTACATGCCCTGTATAATAAGAAACGTTACGTACCCTGTACAATAAGAAACGTTACGTACGCTGTATAATAAGAAACGTTACGTGCCCTGTATAGTAAGAAACGTTACGTACCCTGTATAATAAGAAATGTTACGTGCCCTGTATAATAAGAAACGTTACGCACTCTGTATAATACGAAACGTTACGTACCCTGTATAATAAGAAACGTTATGTGCCCTGTATAATAAGAAACGTTACGTATTCTGTATAATAAGAAACGTTACGTGCCCTGTATAATACGAAAATACCCTGTATAATAAAAAACGTTACGTACCCTGTATAATAAGAAACGTTATGTGCCCTGTATAATAAGAAACGTTACGTATTCTGTATAATAAGAAACGTTACGTGCCCTGTATAGTAAGAAACGTTACGTACCCTGTATAATAAGAAACGTTACGTGCCCTGTATAATACGAAAATACCCTGTATAATAAAAAACGTTACGTACCCTGTATAATAAGAAACGTTACGTGCCTTGTATAATACGAAAGGTTACGTACCCTGTATAATAAGAAACGTTACGTGCCATGTATAATACGAAAGGTTACGTACCCTGTATAATAAGAAACGTTACGTGCCTTGTATAATACGAAAGGTTACGTACCCTGTATAATAAGAAACGTTACGTACGCTGTATAATAAGAAACGTTACGTGCCCTGTATAATAAGAGACGTTACGTGCCATGTATAATACGAAAGGTTACGTACCCTGTATAATAAGAAACGTTACGTACCCAGTATAATACGAAACGTTACGTACGCTGTATAATAAGAAACTTTACGTGCCCTGTATAATAAGAAATGTTACGTGCCCTGTATAATAAGAAACGTTACGTGCCATGTATAATACGAAAGGTTACGTACCCTGTATAATAAGAAACGTTACGTGCCTTGTATAATACGAAAGGTTACGTACCCTGTATAATAAGAAACGTTACGTACCTTGTATAATAAGTAATGTTACATACCCTGTATAATAAGAAACGTTACGTACCCTGTATAATAAGAATCGTTACGTACCCTGTTTAATAAGAAACGTTACGGACCCTGTTTAATAAGAAACGTTACGTGCCCTGTTTATTAAGAAACGTTACGTGCCCTGTATAATAAGAAACGTTACGTTCCCTGTATAATAAGAAACGTTACGTACCCTGTAAAATAAGAATCGTTACTGTATAATAAGAAACGTTACGTGCCCTGTATAATAAGAAACGTTACGTACCCTGTAAAATAAGAATCGTTACGTACCCTGTTTAATAAGAAACGTTACGTGCCCTGTTTAATAAGAAACGTTACGTGCCCTGTATAATAAGAAACGTTACGTGCCCTGTATAATAAGAAACGTTACGTGCCCTGTTTAATAAGAAACGTTACGGACCCTGTTTAATAAGAAACGTTTCGTACCCTGTTTAATAAGAAACGTTACGTACCCTGTTTAATAAGAAACGTTACGTGCCCTGTTTAATAAGAAACGTTACGTGCCCTGTATAATACGAAACGTTACGTACCCTGTATAATAAGAAACGTTATGTGCCCTGTATAATAAGAAACGTTACGTATTCTGTATAATAAGAAACGTTACGTATTCTGTATAATAAGAAACGTTACGTGCCCTGTATAATACGAAACGTTACGTACTCTGTATAATAAGAAACGTTACGTGCCCTGTATAATACGAAACGTTACGTACTCTGTATGATACGAAACGTTACGTGCCCTGTATAATAAGAAACGTTACGTGTCCTGTATAATAAGAAATGTTACGGACCCTGTTTAATAAGAAACGTTACGTGCCCTGTTTAATACGAAACGTTACGTACCCTGTTTAAGAAGAAACGTTACGTACCCAGTGTAGAGATCAGGCCTAGTACCACTAGAGCCGATAATATCTTCATGTTGGCAGTCCCCTGTATCACTCGTAGTACTGTTTACTTCACATTTAACAACACTGTAGACTAAGATAGGTACACGAGCGCTATTGATGTGTATGTACTGTCTAGGATGTAGAGGACGCGGAAATGATTGTATAGTACCGACAGACCAATCCCTTCCGGTGACCGGTTTTATGTAGCGGGACTACAACCATAAACGACTCGTTAATATCACACAACCTCTGCCATGGTAACGATGTAGTGTTTCTATGGACACCAGGTTCCCATGTGTCCTAACGTAAGGCCACCTATGTCCCTGTGACGATCGGTTACTCACGCTTAAACTTAAACTTAAACTTAAACATCTATCAACGCGTCCCAACCCCGCCCCAACCCTGATTCGTTTAAATGTGTCTCTTTCGCGGGAACATGCGGTTTGTTTTTGTGATGTTTGCTGTTGTTGGAAGACGTTGGGTGGGTGATAACAACACCGAAGTGCTTTATTAAAGACTAAAAATAGTAACTGAAAAATGCTGAACTAGATAACTACACTAGTCAATTTCACCGAAGTCATATGTTTTGTATAGTTAATACAATCATATTGATCAGGTTAATTGGGTAGATACACTACGACAAAGCTACGTACTAACCCGATAATACACTTTGATTGAAGCAGGTCCCCCAAATATACAAAACAATTCTTGTTAAGGATTTGGGAAAAAATGGAGACACTTCAGATCGAGTATTGTTTTAAATAGTCACACATGCATTTTTATCATATCACATTATCTTAGTGCACCAAAAGAGAAAACTGGCCTTGAGCGTATACTCCATGGTTTAGCATGATAACGGTTTCATTTATACGAGCCTACTGGTTTTCTCCAATAGTACCACACTGACCAAATCGCCAACACAAACCGCAAGAAAATCAGACCACGCAGTGATTTTCACTGAAATGGACATCAACTCCAAGGCGAATTGGGACCAGCTAATAAGAGGCCTAACAAAAGCGTCAGACAAAGTCAGACATCCATCGGTTTTCTGTACAGCTGGGGAACCATTCACTGATTCCAGGTTTTACACAGTGTAATTTGTTGTCTACACATAGATTCCAATTTTTGTGCCACGTTGACTTTACAAAATGTGTTATTAAATGTTTAAAATCTGTAAAATGGTAGCATTAATCCCGCTGTTGGGGCACGATCTGCCTTTTTATTACCTGATATTCCCAAATCTATATCTGTATTTTTATTACCTGGTATTCCCAAATCTATATCTGTATTTTTATTACCTGGTATTCCCAAATCTATATCTGTATTTTTAATATTTGTAATCGGTTACATTGGCAATAGTGGTAATGTTCATCTTATTCTCCCCAGTACTATGTTCCAATGCGTTTCTCTAATTCTGCTTAATGTCGACAACCATATTTCCCTGTATTACAATAATGACGGCTACAAGACCACAAAAGAGACGTAACGGGCACCTGTTTGTAATATATATTTGTGTGACGTGAATTGAATCTGAATTAATCATGTATACATAAAAATACACCAAACGTTAAAATTGATCAATGAGAGATCAAATACCTTAGCCATTTTCATTTTTGTATGAATGGAAACTGAAGGCCATTATACTAAACTGTAAGACCTCTGGGTATAAAATCACATCATAGATGAGAAATCATAGGCCGTGAAAATCATGCTTACATGCTTTGTTTTCTTTATATATTAAATAATAAATGATAAATTTCGTTATATATTGTATACCATGTAACGTGTAAAAGTTTTCATATGTTTGTATTGATTTCAAGTTTACAAGTTTATTGTTTTTCCTCAGATACATTAAAATGTACAACATGAGGTATCAGAGTATAATAATACACATGTGATGACAAAATGGATGGCAAGTTCACAAAACAGTTATCATGATACATATTACAGCAGTTTGTTATTATTTTCCAACAAAAGACAAATTCCATTTAATACTGTCGTGTTACAAAATGACAACAGACCACTCATTTTAATTTGAGACGGATATTTCTACGTCCAGATCAAAGTTCAGATTTAAGTGGAAATGGTGAGACATCTTTTACCCGTATTCCTAGGTATCATTCTTGATGCTAAATCTTACCGCGTAATCAGGAAGTATACGTGACGCCTTCAGCGCGTGCTGTGTATATGGCTTTAGCATTCCATTGGATGACACACAGATACACAGATACACAGATTTATTCTGACTGTAGGAAATTGTACAATTTCCTCTGCTGTCAGCTCAATTATAAAAGTTACAATAGTACATGTAGTTGGTTAAACATATTAATAACATGATTTCTGAGTATTTTTTGCGAGTCCATTACAGATAGCTGCACAGTTCCATAGAGAGCAGATGTTCAATGATAAGTAATTATGTAACAGTAACATTGTGAATTAAATGAGTGTGGTATAAAAATGTTGGTACGCATATGGGTGTCTCTTGTATATCGCAATTTTTAAATGTTCAAATGTGATATTTTCGTTAAAGTTCAAACAATGACCATTAGTATGTGTGACTTCGATGGCTTCCCTGTGGTTATACACAAGTGGTTGGTTCTTCCAATGACGGTCAAGGCTATGTTCAAATGCTCGGACTGTTCGTGACATTACGACCTCCGATGGCAGGCCGTTCCATATACCCACGGTTCGGTGTGACGGTACACACACAGACCTGGTGGGTGACGTGTGTATCCGTTGGGTTTTAACGTATCCCTGTTCAAGGGGACGCAACTCTCGCAAATGATAAGCCATTCAAGGGTCTGTGGATACTGAAGAAGTTTTATTTCGCAATCCTTACTTCTACGTAAAACTGAAACATACAAATGAACAGTTTCTTAATAGTATTACATGAAAATACAACCTTCGTTATTAAACCGACAATATAGTTAAGCATTCGACAATAAATGGAAATCACATTATGACGTCATTCAATCTGCCAGCAACTTTGATAAACACACCGTCAAACGAATATCAGTTCAATTACAGCAAATACACTGTCGCATTTGGGTTATACATACCTCCTTGGGCTTATTAGCACGCATACAAGTATGCCGCATCGCATATAAAACCTCGTCAGGTCTTCGCAAGGTGGGGAAAACAGGCGACTTTCCTTCGACCTACCGCCTTGTGTCAATTCCCGCCGCCATGACAAAAGTACCGAAAGAATAGGAGAATTCCATAAAAGGGGCATAACTCCTCTGGCCTTACCTCACTCAGGCTGACTGCAGTTACATGGCTCCCCAAATTAGGGTAACTAATTTAACAAACTCGAATAACATATATACAAATACACTATACTACCTGGTTTGGTTCCTCGGTGGGGAGTTCCCCTGTTTCTCGCAACAGCACCAACTTGTGCACAGGCCGGTCAAGAAAACTGACTGGACCGCTCCGTCTACCCTTTTTGTCTAAGGTAGGATCGCCGACAGCGACTCGCACTTTACGCACCAGTCCATCTTCGCTCAAGAACGTCTCGACAACGCAACGTAGGCGCCAATGATTTCGTGACAGATTGTCATCCTTGATAATGACAACATCTCCGTTGCACATGTTTCGTTTCGGAGACTCCCACTTGTTGCGCGTTTGCAAGGTTTGAAGAAATTACTTTCTCCAACGGTTCCAAAACTCATTTGCCAAGTATTGCACACGTCGCCATCTCCTACGGCAATAGAGATCCGTCCTTTGGAATTGACCAGGAGGAGGCAAGATGATCTTGGTCTTCATAGTCAGCAGATGATTGGGAGTCAAAGGTTCCACTGAATGTGGGTCATTCAGGGTGGTTGTGGTAAGTGGTCTACTATTCACAATAGCTGCAGCCTCACACAAAAAAGTTCTAAGTGTCTCGTCATCCAGCTGGGAGCCAGATTGATGCATCAACGATGCAAGTACATTACGAACGGAACGCATCTGCCTCTCCCAGACTCCGCCCATGTGACTCGCAGAAGGGGGGTTCATCTTGAAGCTGATGTAGTCACAACCCTCACTAGATAGATACATCTNCCTTTCTCCAACGGTTCCAAAACTCATTTGCCAGGTATTGCACACGTCGCCATCTCCTACGGCAATAGAGATCCGTCCTTTGGAATTGACCAGGAGGAGGCAAGATGATCTTGGTCTTCATAGTCAGCAGATGATTGGGAGTCAAAGGTTCCACTGAATGTGGGTCATTCAGGGTGGTTGTGGTAAGTGGTCTACTATTCACAATAGCTGCAGCCTCACACAAAAAAGTTCTAAGTGTCTCGTCATCCAGCTGGGAGCCAGATTGATGCATCAACGATGCAAGTACATTACGAACGGAACGTATCTGCCTTTCCCAGACTCCGCCCATGCGACTCGCAGAAGGGGGGTTCATCTTGAAGCTGATGTAGTCACAACCCTCACTAGATAGATACATCTCGAGTCGTTCGTCGTCCAGTTCTTCGAACGCTTCCCTGAGCTCGCGCTCAGCGCCAACAAAGTTAGTACCTTTATCTGACCTTAGATGCCTCACAGGACCACGAACTGACACAAATCTGCGTAGCGCATTGATGAACGAGCTGGTATCCAGGGAATTCGCAGTTTCCAAGTGAATAGCACGACTCGACATACACGTAAAGAGAACGCCATATCTCTTTAACTCCTTCCGTCCTTCCTTGATGTAAAAGGGTCCAAACAAATCCATACCACTGTAAGTGAATGGAGGTTCAGCTGATAGTCGGTCAACAGGCAAGTCTGCCATTTTCTGTCCCTGAAAACATCCTCGCAGTTTGCGACATTTTACACACTTGGTTATACAGCTTGATACTGCGGAACTGCAACCAATGATCCAAAAGCCATTGGATCTAATTTCACATGTGGTCATACCACGTCCTTGGTGTTCAATCCGTTGATGATAATGCTGAATGAGGATGTCTGTGATGTGAGACCTTTTCGGAAGGATGACGGGGTGCCTTATCTTTGCACCGAATTCACCTCGTCGAATACGGCCACCCACGCGTAGGATTCCATTTTCATCCACAAACGGATCCAAGCCACTTAGTGGAGAAGTACCCTTCAAACGAGTTCCCTTTTTGTCATCGTCCTGATTTTGTAGAAGCTTGATCTGATCACGAAAGGCATGTACTTGAACATGTCTGACGATCTCCAACTCTGCCTCCTGCAAGTCCTTCACTGACAGAGCATCGCTCTTGAACATTTCCTTGTGCAATGGGTGTACCACAGTTGGTTTTCTCACTGCCCGTGTCTGCAACAAATGTTTGAACTTTAAACACTGAGCAATAGCCCGTTTGGCTCTGTTCCAATTTGAAAAATAGTCCAATCGGTCAAGTAGTGTATCTGTACTCTCACTAGTCTCAGCCTTGGTAGTGAACACCTGAACCCTTTTCACTTCGGGGTCATCAGTCGAAACATCTGGTTTATTTTCTACATCATCGCTGGGCGAAGGGTCAGACTCCCAGAGAAAGCTAGGGCCGTTAAACCAGTCGGTTCGATTCACGAGGTCGTCAGCCGTCGTCCCACGTGAGGCCAAATCAGCAGGATTGTCCTCAGACCTGACGTACTTCCATTGTGATGGTTCCGTGTGATTGCGAATTTGCTGCACTCTGTTAGCCACAAACACGTGAAATCGCCTCGCGTCGTTGGCGATATATCCAAGGACAACTTGACTGTCAGTCCAGTACCATTCCACGATGTTGCTATATTCCAGCTCTTGAAGCAACATGGAACTCACACGAACGGACACTAAGGCAGCTGCTAGTTCTAGTCTCGGTATTGTCATTTGCTTTAAGGGAGTGACTCTGGCTTTACTCATAACTAACGCGCAATGGACTTGTTGTTCACTGTTGACCAACCGAAGGTAAGAACACTGGCCATAGCCGCTTGTACTTGCGTCAGAAAAGTGATGAAGCTGTGCTGAAACAACTTCTCCGAAGTCAACAGGTTTCAAGCATCTCCTGATCTGAAGAAGTTTGAGATTTTGTAAGTCTGTTCTCCATCGTTCCCATCTCATCTTCAATTCAGCAGAGAGTGGACTGTCCCAGTCCGTCTTATCCCTACACAACTGCTGGAGAATCTGCTTTCCAACCAAGATGAATGGCGAAATGAATCCGAGAGGGTCATACACGGAACACAATGTAGACAGCACACCTCGTCTGGTCAACGGACGATCGTTAAGGACTATCCGAAATTGGAACGAATCTGACTCAACGCACCACTGAATTCCAAGAGCTCTCTCAACAGGAAGCTTGTCATGAAGGATATCAATGTTCTTGAGCCCCTTGGCTCTATCTTCTTGCGGAATATGCGACAAGACCTCCTTTGAGCTGGATATAAATTTGTGCAATCTCGTGCCACCTTTGCTGCACATCCCCTTACATCCATTGATCATGTTCACAGCTTCCTCAACAGTAGGTAAGGATTTCAATCCGTCATCGACGTAAAAGTCGCGCTTCACAAAATTCGCCACGTCCTGTCCGAATTCTGCTTCGTTGTCGGCAGCCATTTGCTTTAAACCGAAGTTAGCGCACCCTGGTGATGACACTGCCCCGAACAGATGCACATTCATCCGATACTCCAGAACTTGTTTCCTAGTATCTCCGTTTTCCCACCACAAGAATCTGAGGTAGTTACGATGTTCATTGTTCACTTTGAATTGATGAAACATCTGCTCAATGTCGCACATAAAGGCCACTGGTTCCTTCCGAAATCGACACAGAACACCAACCAGTGTGTTTGTAAGATCAGGTCCCTGTAGCAGATGTGAGTTTAGTGATTCACCCTTGTATTTGGCACTACAGTCAAAGACAACACGAATTTTATTCGGCTTTTGCGGATGGTACACACCATGATGAGGGATATACCACTCATGTCCATCGTCAAGTTCGAGTTCGGCTTCGGGAACCTTCTCTGCGAATCCTTTCTGGATCAGTTCTTCCATGAAGGCCATGTAATGATCCCGATATTGATGATCTGCGTCAATACGTTTCTTTAGGTGCAGGAGTCTGTGAAAAGCCAACGTCTTGTCGTTTGGCAGATAAGGCATGGATTCTCTAAACGGTAATGGCATCTCATAATGTCCATCGGTAATATGGACTCCTTCCTTCATCAGTGCAAGAAACTGTCGATCCTCGTGCGAATATGCTGTATTCACAGCGCTTGTCTCGTTAAAGTCCTGTTCTAGGATACGTCCAAGTTCAGCGGGGTCGATAACCTCCTTCACGTTGTGTCTACATGCAAACACAACATGTTCGTTGGCATCCGACGAAACACCTCCAGGTACCTTGCACGAAATACTGAAATGGCTTGTGCCTACCAGGTCCTCATCAGGCATCTCAACGTAGTCTCGGTCAACAATGCCCACGATGCCCCATCCGAGGTCAGTTTTCTGGCCATATGGTCCATTGTCAACCGGCGCAATAACATCACGTGGGGCTAACGCCCGGGAACAATTATAGCCTATCAGTAGTCCTACTTCGCAATCACGCAATGACACAAGTTCGTCCGCAATAAATTCCAAATGAGGCCACTGCTTGGCCATCTCCGGTGTAGGAATATGAGAACGATTGGCCGGCATAATGTTCCGTGTAAACACATCTGGCAATGCTATCTTGAGCGAGCTGTTGAAACCACGCACTGTCAGACCTTTTACCTTACAACTGTCTACTACGCGATTTTCAGCATGCATCGTAGAGAGCAGCAATTGCACCTTGGTGCCAGATTGCCTAAGCGCCCGACAAGTATCTTCCAAAATAAACGTAGTGTCGGACTGCGTGTCAAGCAAGGCATACACTAGTCTCTCATTCTCTGGGTTATTCTGATGGGACACATACACAGGGACAATCATCGAACTTTTGCTACACGTTCCGAAGCTTTTCTTAAAGGTTGAGCTAGAATGAAATGACGATGATCCTTGAATGTTAGAAGTTTTGTTTAATGAACCTTCCTTTGAGTGACCAATCACATTGTTAGACTTTGGCGTGTTTTTCAAATCACCGTGCAACGATGTAGGGTGTGGCCTGGAGCACGTACGACACTGCTTTCTCTGTCTACACTTCCTAGCTATGTGACCGGAATCTAAACATCCAAAACAAAGTCTTTGTTCCCTTATATAATCCTTCCGCTCACCCAAGGACTTAGCCAGAAACTGTCTACAATCATCCAAGTTATGGTTCCTTTGACAAAGAGTGCACTTTGTAGTCTTGGTCGAATTTGTCGTTTGACTTTCATCCACCTCGGTAAGGAATGATCGTCCTCCAGTGGGTTGCCTACGAACCTGCCTGCTTGCGCTAGGTGGTTTCTCCTCGTCGCCACGGCTATGATCAGTCTTCAGAGACTGTATCGAGGTAATTGGGTCACAAGCGATCTTTGCTTCTCTCCCGATGAATTCAGCAAAGTCCTTGAATGGAGGAAACTCATTTTTCTCCTCCTTACGCTGACGCACTATCCTGGCCCATCTATTTACAATCCAGTTAGGAAGTTTTGTCAACATTTTTCTGTTTTCACGATTGTCGTTAAGGACGTCGAGGCTTCCAATTGTCCGCATCGCTGCTTGGCATTGCCTCAAAAAATCTGCAAACTTCTGTAGACTACTACCATCGGTAGGGTTAACCTTGGGCCATTTCTCCAGTTTATCGCGAAAGGCATTTGCAATAATGAAAGAATCGCCATATCGTTCGTCAAGCAACTTCTTCGCATCGTCATACGCATCATCAGAGGTCAGCAGGAAATAATTTTCTACCACTTCCTTCACTGCGCCTCCAAGGTACTTCTTGAGGTAGTGGATCCTGTCAGATGATGGTATCTGCCTTTGCTCAATAAGGGTCTGGAAGGCAGCTTTCCATCCCGGATACTTAAGGGGATCACCCATAAACACACTGGGCTCTGGAGGTGGAAGTCTACTCAAGTTCACCTGTTCAGCTAGAGTCTTTGCGAAATGTAACATGCCCTGTTCACTGGATAAAGCTGTTGGGGTAGTCGGCTTGGGACTCGACTCGTAGACAGAAGTTGGAGGAACGGTAGTGCTGATGGGATTTGGCGTAAAATGGGAAAACTGTGGCGCAGTAGGTAAATAGCGTTGAGGTACAAATTCCTCTATAAGTGGATTTAAACCAATTGTGACTGGGGAAGGCGCATACATACCTACGGGGGAAGGAGCTGACACAGTCACCGGGGGAGGCGCTGACAAGGCCACAGGGGGAGGCGCCGACAAGGTCACGGGAGAAGGCGCCGACAAGGTCACGGGGGGAGGTGCTGACAAGGTCACGGGGGGAGGCGCTGACAATGCCACGGGGGGAGGCGCTGACAAACCCTGTATATATTTTGCCGCGTATTCGTCTGGCTCAAATTTGGGTATCATGCTAAGAAAATGTTTGTCAGGAATTGAGCTCCTGCTCTCGTCCAAGGTTTCCATAGCTTCTAATTTGGCCTCGGCCATGTCAAGCTCCATCATAAGTTGGACCCTCTTCATATCTGCCTTGGTCTTTGCCTCCAGATCTACATACTTAAGTTTAGCCTTGATTTCGGCGGCCTTAACCGTTGCATCGGACCGTCTGGTATTATTAGTTGTTCCTGAACATCGCGACGTGCTATGAGATTGTCTGGAGGATTTCGATTTCGCGTCAGACTCTACTTCACGAATGAAACTAGCGATTTCGCGCATGAGGTATTGATGTTCATTTTCGATGGTTTCGCACTTCTCAAACAACCCGTCTTCGAAGGATTCAACATTCTTAAAAACATCACTTTCCCTGCCTTGTTCAAGCATTAACAATAACTTATGGTACGCTTTTACAACATCACCAACATTTCTTTCGAGAATATCGCGCTCGCTCCTTATAATACCAAGATCTGTTGTATCTGATAGCGCAACTCGGATTTTATTTGCATGCCTGCGCCATGTTGACACGGCAGACCGGAAATTCGACTGAGCCAGATTAACGTTATACTCGAGGCCCTTTGGTGAATATGTTTGGTCGCGTGCACTAGCACGTGAAGGTTCACCAGACGCTTCGGCTACTACATTTGATTGACCTTCGTTCTCCTTGACTTGAGGTGTACCTTCCTTATTTAGAGTTGATGCTTTTTCCTCGTCTGGAGATGTACCTTCCTTCTCTTGATAGGACATTTTAAAGTTCAAAAGAAACTAAAATAACAACACTGTTTGCCTTAAACGAGGGGATAATACAAACAAAGGCTATTACTTAACACAAATCTGTTCACTCAAATATGGACCTGGGGGTCATATTTACACTAAGTTTTGTAACTCATGAGTCAAAGGGAGATAATACCTGCTGTAGTAGTTCTGTGTACTATGTAAAGTCGATTATATACCCGATTACTCGCACTACTACTTACCCAAACTGCAATTACACGAGTCACAGATTTAAAGTTGTAGACTTACCTATGTGTAAGACACATGCCGGGTAGAACACTGAACCCGCATGTATACATATGTATATTCAATGCCTTGGCTTTCACAAATACTCACCTTGCTGACAGATTGAAATGTGATCGTGATATTGCTAAGCTATTATGAAATGACACATAAAATTATTAAAGTTAAAGTTCATCATCGAATAAAGTTTCACTTTGAACACAGTTCGAATACGAAAATGTCTCTCGGTTTATACCCTCATAAGCTTGGGTCTCCAAGGAATGTACTCTTCTTGGCAGCAACATTAAACACTTATAATGTCAGTCATAGCAGCAACATAAACAGCATTCATTATTATAGCAGATACAATGTCTCAAAAGGTCAATTATATCCATGTACACAGCATGTACAATACATCAAAGTCAATAAAGGTTCATCGCACATATTCAGAATTTTGCAGGAATCCACGTGTTGATTTAGGTCAATAAAAGTTCATAAATTCCTCCGGTAAATTGTGTGAAGTCAGCATACACAGCATTCAATTGTATTGTTGTAAGTTCACAACACAATACAGGTTCTCTGAGGGTTAGGTACCATATACCATTTACATGTCATCGCACATCTGTACACAACATTGTGTAATCCGTCTGTATAGTTTCTTCATAAACTTCACCAGCTCGTAGAACTAAAGCTCGGAGTTTTACTGTGACGGTACACACACAGACCTGGTGGGTGACGTGTGTATCCGTTGGGTTTTAACGTATCCCTGTTCAAGGGGACGCAACTCTCGCAAATGATAAGCCATTCAAGGGTCTGTGGATACTGAAGAAGTTTTATTTCGCAATCCTTACTTCTACGTAAAACTGAAACATACAAATGAACAGTTTCTTAATAGTATTACATGAAAATACAACCTTCGTTATTAAACCGACAATATAGTTAAGCATTCGACAATAAATGGAAATCACATTATGACGTCATTCAATCTGCCAGCAACTTTGATAAACACACCGTCAAACGAATATCAGTTAAATTACAGCAAATACACTGTCGCATTTGGGTTATACATACCTCCTTGGGCTTATTAGCACGCATACAAGTATGCCGCATCGCATATAAAACCTCGTCAGGTCTTCGCAAGGTGGGGAAAACAAGCGACTTTCCTACAACCTACCGCCTTGTGTCAATTCCCGCCGCCATGACAAAAGTACCGAAAGAATAGGAGAATTCCATAAAAGGGGCATAACTCCTCTGGCCTTACCTCACTCAGGCTGACTGCAGTTACAGTTCGGTGAAGGAATGAATGTTTCCGGATAATTTGAGTTCGTGTCCTCTGGTGGTGGTGGTGGTGGTGTTGTTAGGTGTGATGAATGTCGACACCTCGGGATCATACTTCTCGGTCTTCGATATGCCAATGTTGGTAATTTCAGGCGTTACAGTCTCTCAGGGTAGGATAGATAAGCCATTCCGGGTATTAGCTTGGTGGCTCTCCTTTGTACATGAATTGAGTGTGATTGGTGTCGCTCTGACATGCGTATGAAAGTATTCAAAAGCTGCCTATAAGATTGCAAAGAACAGAAGTTTACTACAAAAACACTAGCGAAACCAATTTCATTGAAACAATGTCAGTTGGAAAATAAAAGGGGCGGTATTCATGAAACTGTTCTCTTGCTTAAGCATGGATTCTGTGCTCAAACCAAATTTCTTGTAACTCACTTGAATCACGGCAAACGCTCAAAAGGTCAAATGTAAACATTTAAAACAGGTTTTGGCTTTAAGTCTCTTCAATGATTTTTGTAAATCATTGATGAAATAAGATTTATTTAGGTTATAGTACGTTGTTTTGAGCGGCTATACTGGCGATTAGAACATGAAATATGGTTTGAACTCGAGACCGCCAAGTTTCATTTGATTTCGGATCTAATTAGATGCCTTCACACGAATGGAATGAATTTTTCAGTAATAAATGGAGGTAAGAACAAGCTTTTTTTACTCTTGATTTTTTCATTTATTCAGCAAGTACTTTTCATCGGACCTTTCTGTTCTGTTTTCTGCTAGCCTTATCAACAGGATTTCGCTAAGAGCGAGGTTGACGCCATTTTGTTTTGTTTAGAAACGGGGCGTGGATTAAGTGCGATGGGAGGAGCTTAACACGATTGATCATGATTCTATTGCAGATTAGATCATGGTCCGAACCCAATCAAAATGCGTTGCAAACGAATCGTGTTAGAATTATTAATGTATAATGGGAACAAGAAATTCATCTTGAGCACAAAACCCATGCTAAGCATGAGAACGGTTTCACGAATACGGGCCATGTAGGCACTATACACACATCATAAGCTTTTGGATTGCTATTTCAGGATTAACTTTCTATTTAGTTTAGGTTATCGGGTGATAACTACAATGGAACTCGGATAAATTGATTAATCGGCGAAGCCCGAGTTCCATTGTAGTTATCACCCGATAACCTAAACGTTAATCCTTATATTTATATTATTATTCTTTAATATTAACCGGGATAGATATCCCGTGGGAGGATAACAAGCATTCCTTTCAAGCCCGATGCGTGATACGATTACGCTTCGCGCCACTCTTCGAAGGCTACTAATGTACATCTCACACACAAACATATAACTCCTAACCTATTAATCTCAATATAATAAGCCCATTTAAAAATTTAAAAATACACGTGTGCTTCTTGTTACCTGTGTCGCCTGAATGACACGTATAGGTAACAACCCAGACCATTTGCACGTGCAAATACCACCAATAGCGCCACCTATTGGCGTTCTCATACCAAAGAGAAAATAATTACATCCTAATTCCTACCGTGAACCGGTTGAAATTATATTTCTCATGTAATATTGGTAAACCATATCAAATGTTGAAATATTTGATTTCTGTGTACATTATACATTGGACAATACAAAATAAAATGGTTTAGCGTCCTCCATATTATGTCCACATCTACAGGATGGACAGTCAATACGATTGACATGGGAAAAAATATGCTATTGAATTATTTTTTTATTTACGTCTTTTCTCTAAATAATTGATTTAGATTAAACACTGAAGTAGAAAATACTGCCACTGCAAATGTATTTGACACTGAAGGAGGGTCAACTATCAACGATAACACAAACACAATTACAATATTTGCACATTTCTTTAATTCTTGAAAGCGCATTTAACTTTATAACATAATAATATTAAGTTATGTAATTGTAGTAGTTGCAGTACCGTACTAATACAGTATACACTATTGTAACTAAACAGGAAGATTGCCTGTAGTGGACATAGGCCCGAACGATCAGCTGATCGGCCGGTTAAGTTGGCCCAGTTTTGGAATCGTCTGATTATGGCGTAAAAACCTTTCCAGCATTGATGGGAACTGTTTCGGCTCTTAAAATATAAATGTTGAATTCAACTGGTAATTTCATGACAATTAATTACTCTGTGTTAAATGTCATTTTTGCGAGTGTGAGCGAGATATTGTACTAGTGCATCGGGTCACGCACGCTCAATATAGTCGCAATTAACGAAGCATGTTTAGTGAAATTTGACGCTAATAAATTAGACTTGCTTATTATCCAACATTTGTACAAACCGGTGTGATGTTCATGTTGACGATATGAAGTCGATTTCACCCATGTATCGCCTGGTTTGGTCATATTTGGTCACGGTGGCTGTCTTTCGTTCGTGTGCCGCCCTCAACTTTCACGGCCATGTTTGCACTGCTTCTATATCTATATGTTATACTCCACAGATACCAAAATGACTTTAATGCGGAGGGGTACGCATGCGATACTTATCTTCGGTTAATCCCAGTTGGTAGGGATTGATGCTTTAAACGCCTCTATTCCTTGCGCCCCGACTGTGATCTCGTCCAGGTGGTTCCAAGCTGTGGCTGTTCGCACAAAGAATGAGTTTCTGTATTGTTCCGTGTTCCTGTCGGGTATTATGACTGCCCTGTTATTGTTCCGTGTTGCTGTTGTGAATTATGACTGCTCTGTTATTGTTCCGTGTTGCTGTTGGGTATTATCACTGCTCTGTTATTGTTCCTGATTGAATTTGGAATTGGTCTTGATGTCTCGCAGTCCTGGAATTTACACTATCGTGTTTTCCTTTTTCACGCTAGAAATTAATAAAGAGTTTGCTAGGCATTGATGGAATTTGCTCCTCTACGATTTTATAATAGAATGTTCGTCTTGATGCTAGTGGTGAATCCCTCTTCCTTTGTTCTGTAATCTGCACCCCTCTACGTTGGATACTTTTCAATTTGTTAATGTGTGTCTTAATGTACGGGTTCTAGATTATTCCTCCGTATTCCAAGATGGATCTGACAAGAGCAGTGTATGCTGCTTTCTACATTCTCTGGGACCGTGTTGTAGATTGCGTCGTAGCAAGCATAAGATAAAACTGTTTTTTTTTATAGTACTTGCTATATTTTCTTTCCACTTCATATCCTCTAATAGTTGTAATCCTAGATATGGGTTTGTCTGTACGTGATCTAACTTGTGTCCATTAAGCTGGTATGTGTTTTGCTTTTTCTTCTTAATAAAAAAGAATGTACCATTTTTTGGCATTCAATTTCATCCACCAGTTTGCAGCCCAAGTTTCGAGTTGTTTAAGGTCGTCTTGAAGTGTTTAGTGGTCCTTGTTTGAGATTATTTCTCGATAGAGTAGGCAGTCATCTGCGAAAAGTCTAACTGTTGATTTCACAGAGTCTGGCAAGTCATTTCTATGAC